GGAGGCACTGGAGAGAATATATAAATAAATCTGTAAAATAATTCAGCTCTCAACTTTTGACATTTCAGGGCCAGTTATAGAGATCTAATCTTTTCCTGGTGCATAGAGAAATTACATGAATTGCTTCCTGTACCGTATGTGGGATTTAAACATGTAAATTTTACCATTCCCACAATGCAAAGAAAAACATAGGCCTGTAAAGCTGGGGAAAACATAGTGAGTCCTTAACATCAGTCTTGTCAGATCTCGAGATTAGGCCAGAGCATTGGCTTTGCTGCTTAAATTTCACATTTTTAATATCTAGATTTTCTTGGTATTGGAGGCACATATCCCAGCCAGGTCAAGATGGTGCATCAGCCCCTGCAGTAGATGTGTAGAGTTCCAGGCAGTTCACTGAATCTTTTGGATTAAACTTTTGAAAACTGAAATTCTCTACGCTGGCAATCACATATCTCTGGCACCCTTTCCTTACCACAGAGGGGCCCATACTAATGTCTTGGCCAGAATTTTCTCTTTTCCTTCTGGCTTCAAAATGTGCTAGCTGGCTTCTTTCTCAAAGGTGGTTGTAAAAGATGCTGGCTTGTGGCTGAATTATAAGCAGTACAACAGAATGTCACGGGATGGGGTCCTGCAGGATGGCCATGATCTTCCCAAGGTCCCCATTGGGCCTCTTACCATGCCAAGTTGGCCCAATGGGCATGTCTTGCCCGCCATGTCTTGTTGATATGAATAATAAGGAGGCTGCCTCCAAGTCCTCTTGGACATGGTCTTAATTGATTCTCTGGACTCCATGGGTCTCTGGACCTCTGGTGGGTCCTGCTCCAAAATAGATGTCGCAACGGGTGTTTCGGGACACCCAGGCCTTATGGGCTATGCGTGGCTCCAACCACTCCTTTACCATGCCCCAAGCCTCGCAGATGGTACCGAAGTTGTTTTGGTCTGGGCCTTGTAATTTGGCCCGCTTGTTCTCCATGGGCTCTCTGCAGCCTCGTCTTGTTCTGCGCCTCCCTGGCGCTGGGGTCTGTGCACCCCCAAATGCTGTGCACTCTCTAGTGCCATGGCGCCCCCCGCCCCATGAGGCCTCCTCCTTCCACTAATAGCCTCACCCAAACCACCGGTCTTATACAGCAATAAACAAAACACAAGCCCCTGGGCTGTAACATAAATTCAAGCCGTCCGGCTACAACATCATTCAAACCATACCGGGGAATATGCCGCCCCTCAACAGTGTCAGAAGCTGCTTCTGCAGTCAGGCCTTTCCCCTTTGGTTGCTCTAAGAGAGCTCCTTCCCCCATGGCTGCTCGCAGAGAACTGCCCTCCTGGTCTCAGCCCTGGGGTTTATATACAAGCCAGGCCCTGCCCCTTCCAGTCAGCTGACCGCTGGCAGGTGTGGGCCACTAGCTCTTTCTGGCTGCCCTGGTAACCAGCAGCTGGGGCTTCTAACACACTGCTAGGGCTCTTCCCCTAGCAGTTGAAGCTCTTTAAAGGAGCAGGGCACCCTAGTGCCCTGCGACACAGAAGTAAAAGGTTGTATGGGACTTTGGAAGGCAAGCAGTCACTAGAATGTAAGGATGTCCTTGTCACTCCTCCCCACCTTCCCAGCCTAGCACTAGAACAGGGGTTGTCAACCAGGGGTACGCGTGCCTCTAGGAGTATTTAGAAAGGTCGTAGTGGGTATGCGTGTGTGGGCAGGTGGGTGGGCACGGAGCATGCCCCGGGCCATGGTGACAGTGTCTCCCCCGGCACGTTCCTATACTTGGCTTCTTACCCGGGGGAGAGGAGGTGGCAGGGGAGGGGCGTGCTGGGTTCCACTGGCCCCATGCAGCACACTGCAGTGCCTCCCCGCTCCCCACCTCAGCTTGCTCTCTGGGCCCACTCCCAGGAGCAGGGCTGGTGGGGGCGAGGGCAGCAGCGCCCATCTGCAGGCATGATTGGCTGGGCATGAGGCCCATCAGCAGCCTGTGGAGTCACATGTGCCATGAGAAAGCAGCGTGGGGTGTGGCAGTGGCAGCATAGGGCTTTGGGTGGTGATGGCGGCGGCAGCTGCATGTGAGCACCCCTACCCCCACTGTCTGGCTGGCTATGCAGTGCCTGTGTGGCGATCTGGCCCTCCAACCCCTTTCCTCCCTGCTTTCCTCCCCTTCGCCCCACACATGCTTACCTGCTCGGGGGGCGGTGTCTGCATGTGTTGCTGCATCTGTGTGTGTCTGCATCTGTGTGTGTGTGTGTGTGTGTGTGTGTCTGTTCCCTGACCACCCAGTGGCAGCAGGCACGTGGCATTGTGCAGCTCATGGGGCAGCGGGGTGCAGAGTCCAGACTGCAGCAGTAGCTGCCTCCGCCCCATGCATAGATCTAGAGGACAAATGCTCCCTGGGCCTCCGTTGGGGTGCATGCAGCCCCAGCCCCACTCGCGCTTTCACCATGGGGAAACTCACTCTGTACCCTTCCCCTGCCCCTTAAAAAGAAGAAAAAAATATAAAAGGGTACATGAGCTGAAACCTTGAGGCAGAAGGGGTACACTTGTTAAAAAAGTTTGAAAACCACTGCACTAGTCCATTTCAGAATGCAACTGGCATGCGCCTTTAAACTGGGAGAAGGCTTTATGCCTGTTGAAATGCAAAGGTCTCATAAAGCAACAATGAATTGGGTCCCATATTTGGTAATCTGTGTCCAAACAATCTCACTCTGAGTTTATCTCCACCAATCAGATGGAATTTATCTGCTTTTGTGGGGTACTTTAGTAACGACTGGATTTGGCTAGTTGTATAATATAGGTAAACCTGTGGTGTGATATTAAGCAATAATGGCCATGTTTGTTCAGCTTGACAGTCTCCAACCCAGAGTCTCTGCTAGAGTAGGCTGATGGAAAGGAACTGCTAGAAGTCACTGGACCAGGAACATATCACAATGAATTTCAGAAACTTTCTGACATTTTTGTAACATCAGGAACTGTTTGCTTGCGTGATTTCTACCACTTTGGTTGCTTCTACACAGAGCCCAGAGCCATGTGCAATGTCAAGGAGGGCATTTTAGCACCATTGATGAAGCAGGTTGACAGGGAGCCGTGACAGAAGGATAACAGGAGTGTGAGGGATAGGTTGAGAAAATGTTTTTAAAATGTAACCTATAGGCTAATTCTAATACAATGACCTTTTTTTTTTATCACTTATCTGTTTTCTGTCTGTTATTCTTCATCAATCCTTCCTATTTAGATTGCAGTCTTTAGAATAGGCTGTGATGCTACATGACATAATGATGCTCCATTATATCTGACTGGAGTGTTCATATGCTATTGCTATATCAATATGAATAATAGAAAAAACAGGGAGATATACACTGCCCTGTTTTTGTACCATGGAATTAACACGATCTCCTTCATATCCATTACAAACAAACCTCCTCTATACTATGAAGGATATTATACCATCTTTACCATAATACATTAATTATTTTGGCAGCACCAGGAAAGTGTGAAAGTTTTTTTTCATCCACAGAATTTTTCAAACCTGTGTGGCCAAGGTCAACTGTGGGCAATCTTGAAAATCTTACTCATGTTAGTAAACCTTATTCATACAAATAGAGTTCCACTGAAGTCAGTTTTGAATAAGGATTCAGCAATTCTTTGCCCACCATTCAAATACAATCAGCTATGAAGAATAATATAATGAATGCTTACCAGGGCACAGTAATATTATGTAAGATGAACATTATAATCTGAAGAGTAGCTTTTCCCGCTGAGACTACAGGTGGGATTTAGATAGAATTTAATTATCCTTGGATTTGTCCAGGACACTAGAATAAATTATCTGCTTATTCAAAAGGTATCACAGAACTATTATTACAAATGGTTAGGGTCTTGGTTTTATTTCTCATCTGATATACAAAACTATACAAAGAAAAACATTATGTAAAATATACAACACTGAGGTCATAATAATGTCAGTTCATCATTTTACACGTAAAAGGGACTATATTACAGTAATATCTTTGCATGCTTCAAGTAACCCATTTGCTTTGCTTAATTTCACAATTATGCATATCCTATCATGCTCACACCAATTGTATTTTGCAATTATATTATCCTCTTAATGAGTGATCTTCACCTGCAGTGAACACAAGCATTACCCACTAGAGGGAGCACAATGAAAAGCATTTCAAATCTTTAAAACAACCTGAGAAAGTCTGGTGACACTGTAGAATGATAGTCACCAACCACAGACAGACGTGACAATTTTTGCCTGATCTGGCCCCTGAAAGCTCTCTACAGCTGTGATCAAACAGAAATACTCAGCTACAAAGTGTGTTAAAGGGGCCCAGCCCCACAAAAATTTCATTGCATGAAGGTTCAGATGAGGATACATTCAAAACATAGCTTTTTCAATAACTTCTATCTGTACTGCCTCCCAGTTTGTCACCATTTTCAGAATGGGAGGGGGTAAAGGGACTACAGGGAATGTGGTTTGGGGTTTTTTTTCAGCCCATGCTGGAGAGTGGGATAGGTGGATTGAATTCCCCACTACACCTTAGGGTGAGGGCTCTAATCCAGCCACCCCACCCTCCAGCGCTGGCTGGGGACCCCTAGAAGGAGATCCCTCTGCTCCCTTTCCCCCTTCCAATTCTGAAAACAGCTTGGGCTGGGAGAGAGGAGGGGCCATTGCTAGGGGAAACTGGCTACAGGCTCCCAGCCATCACTGAGATTCCCCTCCCCCCTGGAACCAACAGTGAACTTCTGTTTAGTCTGGGGGAGTTATAACTCAGAACACTTCCTGCAAAGTGTTCTGAGTTACAGCAGGGAACTGCACTTCTGTCTGTGCTCGCCAGTGAGCCAACAGCTCAAGAGTGAGTAGCTTTGGGATTTCACAAAGCCTGTTGGAGCTCTGTTCCTGATGAAGATCTCTTTAGCTTTGATGTGCTATGATGATACAATAACATAGGATGTAGGACTGGAAAGGACTTCCTTGATTGTTGAGTCCCATCTCTTGTGCTATTGTGTATTACAGGGCTCAGCAATCTATGGCCTGTAGGCCAGATCCAGCCCATGGAGCCACTGGATTCAGAAACGCTTAGTGGCAGGGGACTTGAACTGCAATTGCTCTTCCCATGGTATTGTGGGAGGAAGCACAAGCTGCAGGCACTCTTGCTGTGTTGCCATGGGAGAAGCACTGGCTGTGGCTGCTTTCCTCGTGCCATTTCAGGGAGAAGCACTGCCTGCTGGTGGGTCCTTGCATGCACCTACCCAGTCGTCTCTGACCTGAGGTGGGTCATTTTAGCTTGCCACAGGAAAAGGTTGCTTACTTTTTATGTAGTATAATCACACTCATAAACTAGTTAGATTGTTTTCCTTGTTACTGAAGAGGAGAGTATTAATGCTGAAGCCTGGCCAGAACCAGGGAGCAGGGCAAACCACATCATAAGGATTAAAGAGGAACAACTACATCCAAGTGGCAGGTCACCTGATTAGAAAGGACTATGCAGCAGGACGTTCAAATACTCTGCTCTCTGAGCATGTTGAGGGGGAGGTGAAAACTCCCAGGGAGAGGGGGAAGTGCTGAGGGGACCCCGAGTCACACAGGGCACCCAGTACAGAGAAGGGTGGGAACCCCAGAGACAGAGCTGTGCTGAAACAGGTTAGTTACTCCAAAAGCAAGGGGGGAGGGGCAAATTTTAAAGTAATTTTTTCTTGTCTTAGTCTTTCACCCCACCCTGAGGATGCCTAACATAGTACTGGGGGGGTGAGTTACCCCACTGGAGTAATAAACCGGTGGATCAGGAGTGACTAAAAGGGGTGAAGCAGAGGCCAGGGAGGGTGCCAGGGGGCATGCCTGCCAGGGACAGAGGCTCAAGCCACACTAGTGCCCAAGGGGATGACGGTGTTTTGGGCCCCACCAGGGCTGGGCTTAGAACACAGGCAGGTCAAAGCCAGGAAAGTGAAAACCTGTGAGAGGGACAGCCCAAGGCCGTGGGGTCTGTAGCCTGTAAGATGTGGTATTTTCAGTAGACCTAAGCTAAGAGGCCCAGCTAGAGGAAAGGGGCAGAAGCCAGGAGGGCTGAGGCCCCAACAAAGGCTTGGAGCCCTGACGTGGTATTGGGGGATGAGTTACCCCACTGGAGTGATAGACTGGTAACATCTGCAAAGCAAGGGCATACCTGAAGGGGCAGGAGGAGGCCACGAATCTAACCCTTGAGGCTGACCAGGACTGAGGACATAAACACTGACAGCCATAAGAAAAATAGAGAGAATTAAAGGCTCACTCACCCCAGCAAGGCAGCTTCCTTTCACTATTTCTCTGTAGCAGGAAGGTGTGTCAGGAAAACGAATGGGTTGCAACCCGGGGAGATGTGAGCAAAGCTAGACCAGACAGAGAGAGCTCTGGGGTAGGGGTGGCATCACAGTGGCCTCTTGGGCCCCACTGTAGTCATCACACCCCCATTTACTCATATTATATGTCTGTTCCGGTATGTAACACCTCAGATGGCTAATTGTCTTCTGATTTCCAAACTTAATTCTGTCCTGGTAAGTTAGTACCTATTTTTGCTTGCACCCTCATTGTCCTGTAACTTATGAAGCTCTTCTCCTAACCTGGTATTTTCCTTGTCCCCCAGTTTATTTCATTCCTTCAGCCTTTGTTTCGCTAGGCTAGATGAACTAGGTCCTTTTAGTTTCTTAACTGATAGGCTTTCCAATCCCCCAATCATCCCAGTATTCCTTCTCTGAGCCCATTATGACTTAAATTATTCATTTTTGAATATGTGACCAGAACTGTACATAGTATTCTAGATGAGACTTTTCAGTATACAATGGCATTAAAACCATCCTTTCTATAATGGAAATGCCTCACTTGAAGTATCCTAGAATATGAAGAGAAATGGAGCTAGAATATTTATTTTTTAAAGTTAAAAAGGAGAATGCAATTTAAATTGTTCTTTTAAGGTATTGCTTGCCATATCTGGAAAATATCTCATAAAGTGAGGTCTAACTACTAAAGGGAGAGAATTTCAAGTGTATAAAAGAGAAAGTGATATCTTTTGAATTAATATATGGACATTTTAGCAGAATGGCTTGACTGGTAGAGAAGATATATGTGGATGATAGGGGAGGAAATGAGACAGTAAAAGCCCTAGTGTCAAATGCTAAACTAAGTATCACATTTTTGATGAGCGGCATTATAAATATGCAAATTATATGTGAATAGGTATATGCATGTATGGAACAATTAAAATTCTATTGCTTTAACATCTTTATCTTTTAAATTCTAATTATGCCATGATTGCTGAAGTTAATCAGATATAAACAATGATACATATGCATGCAGGCGCACAGACTATAATAAAAAGTATTCTCCGGCATATTTTTTGCCAACCAATAAAATAACTATGTCAAGTTAAAATAATTATTGCATATTTTATAGGCTTTCTTCTGACAAAGGCTGTTGTACATCTTCATTTTACTCTTCTGTGAATGGAAGAGTCATTTTAGAGATGCAAAGGTACACTTTCTTCTTGGTGCTATTTGCAATGTGAAATGTATATTTCAGTGACAAAATCCTTTTTTCATTCCTGTCAGAAGATCTATGCTTGTGACAGAGCAGCTTGAGTGCTCTGTCACTTTAAGGGCTGGAGCAGGTAGCCGGCAGGTGGCTGATTAGGGTGGCCATTTTAGAGTCCTGCTCTCTGGGCTGTGACAGCAGTTTGCAACCAGCTGTCCTGGGAGCAACATCACCCAGCAGAGCTCCTGCTCCAGGGACATCTTGGAGGTAAGGGTGAGGCTATAGGGAAGGAGGAAATCTCATGGTCCTGGGCATGACTAAAAACTGCACCCTGCTGGGGTAGGGAGGCCTGGAGGGACTGCCTGTGGTGGGACAGTAACACTTATATGCCAGAACCAAGAACCTCCCCGGTAAAAGGCAGGTAGGGCTGCCTAAACCCCAGCCCCTATCTTTGGGTGGGTAATGTGAGTAGAGTGAGACCAGGCACGCTTAATAGAAGCCCCTGAGCCCTATGGGGTATTGGACCCTGGAGGTGGGCCAGGCATACTCAAGAGAGGAGCACCTGGGCCCATGGGGTATAAGACCCTGGGCCCTGTGGAGAGTGTGGAGTGGAGACCAGGCATGCTTAATAGGAAAAGCACCTGAGCCTGTAGGGGTGAAAGACCCTGGGCCCCAGTGCAGGGGCAGAGTAGAAGTCCGAGAGAGGGGCATAGTGGGGCCAGGAGTGAAGTAGGCCTATAATTGAATAATCGCCCAGTCCTGTTCAGATGAGGGCCATGGGAGATGCCCAAAAGGCTGCATCAGGGCTGGCTGAGGTGTGAAGGGTGAAGCCTGATGGCCCTATGGGGTCACTCAAGGGAGCAGGGCAGTATGAATGTGGCCTTGGTTAGGGCAGTATAATAGAGGCCCTGTGAGAGAAGGAAGAGTGTATGAGGCCTCAGTGAGATGTGTGGGGCGGTGTGTGTGTGGCCCATGAGGGCAGCGTGTGAGAGACCCAACTGTGTGCCTAGTTTGGCCCAGCCTTGAACTGGAAAGGTAATACATGGTGTGACATCTGCGAGGCGTGGGACACGTGTAAGGGGAGGTTTGACCATGTATGTATCACCCATCACAGATGGATGCTCAAAGTGCAGCCTCCCACCTTGTTAACATCCCAATTACTTTACAACAAGGCGTGGCAGAAAAATAGGCAGCTGGTTTGCCCATAGACAGGAAGTGGACCGGTGTGAGCACTGGGCCTTGGAAGTTTCCCTGTCACAATACTCCAATGGTTTTCCAGTACTATTTGCTGGGAACTAGTTACAGAATAACAAAATTAAAAGCAAACTGTACTTGATACAGTTAGATATGTGATTACTGACATCTCCTCTCTGTTCCTTATGCTAGGTCCTTGGATCATTTAGTTGGTCTAATAAAAATTATCAAATCTACCCTATGTTCTTAGACCAACACAGCTACAACCAACAACCCTAAGGGCCTTGGATCAGAACTGGTGAGACACTGTGATGACATGGGCAGAAGAAACCTTCCATTCAGTGTTAAATGATCTTAACATAAGTAAGAGTCAATACCAGTGTGTCTTTATTTTAAAATAAATACTAGCTAATTGCCCATCAAGAACAAACAATTTCAGGGAGTGTTTACATGGCCCCCTCTCACCTCCTGCTCACCCTTCGGGGCCGTTCTTGTAAAGACTTCCTCTGCCTCTGCTGCCTCCTCCTCCAGCCTCTAGTGCGGAGGCTCCCTCCCACCACCCACCTCTGCCTTGCAGTGGGGCTTCCCTCCATTTTCCCTCCCCTCCCCACTCCCCTTCCTTCCTCCCTGTTGCTTCCCCCTCCCTGCCAGCTGTTGTTGGGGCTGGGCAGCGGGGGAGGGGGGGGAGCACCACCACCGTGACCCCTCCTCCCCTCCCCTCCCCTCTTCCCTCCCTTCCTTCCTTCCCTGCCACCCAGCCCCCAACAACAGCTGCCACCATGACCCTCCACCTCTGTCTCCCCACTCCCCAGGGCCCCCGTTCCCCCCCCCCCCCCCCTGCCACTTCCCCCTCCCTGCTGGCCGTTGTTGGGGCCTCCTTCCCACTCCCCTCCCCGCCACCCAGCCCCAACAACAGCTGCCACCGTGACCCGCTCCTCATCTCCCCCTGCCCTGCCTGCCACCTCCCTCTCCCTTCCTGCTTTTCTAGGAGGTGTTGGGGATGGGTGGTAGAGGTGGGTGCTGCCACCGTAACCCCACCTTTGGCCCTCAGACAGAGAGAGGCATGGAGACACACCGCTGTTTGGGTGGCTGGGGCATGTTCGCTGCCATCACAAACTTCCCTGGCAGCAGCTCAAGCTTGGGCCTGTGCAGCCTGGGCTCATGCAGCCAATTACTGCCCGCCCTCTCGGTGGCACATGTGCACTATTATTATAGAGAATAATAGTAATAATGATTATGTTATCATAAGGCATTGGGATATATTTTATGCAAGTCATTCTCAAACTTTTCAGACTCAAGGTACCCCTCATTAGACTCTAGGTACCCCCCAGAATATGTCAACTCTTATCTTTCACTTATTTTTTGACTATGGAAATGTAAGTAATTCCTCTGTTGCAAAGAACTCAACAAACACCACAACAGGTCAGAATATTTTTGACACTACAGATTCCTATTTGAGATCTCTAGGTTTATCTTATGACTACACGTAAGTGTTTGAACACACACCAGTATTAATATTGCATGACACCCTTAAAAGGATCTCACAGCACCCTAGTTAAAAATCATTGTTCTAGACAGTATTCCTAGTTCTGCCTGCTGCTCTGTGTATGATCCTGGAAAAGTCATTTTTCTTTTCCTCTGGCCTTGGCACCAGTAGAGAATTTTTAGCATCTGATTCTCCTATCACATTTGTAGAACTCCTCATATCTTCAAACAATAATGCTTTGAGCAATGTACATGCATCCCAAATACTACTTGGATTAGATCTGCTTTCAGCCCACACTGCTTCAGTCTGCACTATTTTAGAATCAGTATGAGCAGAGGTTGTTTCTGGCATACTAGCACAAATGCTTTATATACTTGAGGGCTGTCCAACTCGCAATCTGTGGGCTGCATGTGGGCTGTGAGGAGTTAATATGCAATCCCCAGGCTCCCACCCAGCCACTGCTTTTAGAAACTGCTCTAGCTGCAGCTTCCCCACTGGGCTCCCTCTTCCTCCTGAGGCCTCCATTTCCTGCTTCTGCTCCAGTGGGTAGGGGTGACATAGTGTGGAGCAGCCTAAGGTGCAATATGGGAGCCTACAGTTGGGAAACTGAGGAGCACCCATGCACACAGTGCAACAGGAGTGGCAAGGGTGCCAAGGCAGCCCATGGCTTGTGCTGGTGTAACCTCTGTGGCATGTGGCTCCTGGCCACCTAGAAGTTAAACAACCATGACGTACTTCACCATATACCAGTGCACTTCTGAAACATCCCAGAAGCTGTGCTGGAAACTGGTAGAGGAATCTTGAAGATACCTTTAGAACAATGCTAATGTGACCTCCAAGCAAAACTGCAATGTTTTAGAACAGGGGTACCCAATCTTTCCAGGATAACAGCTAGATAAGAGATGCTGGGTCGCTGTGTAGGCTGGATCTGGTACATGGGATCAGTTCGTGGGTCTGATATGATGCAGGGTTGGGGCACAGGTGTGATTTAATGCGTAGCCTCTGTACCATTCACTAGATCAGGCCACGGCTCCACAGGCTCCGAATTGGGCCTGCCACCCCAGCTCTGACCCTGCAAGTGCCAGATTAGGTCTGCTGCCCTGCCTGGGCTCCAATCATCTCACAATCCGCCCTGGGGCCCCATTCACTTCTGCCCCTGCCTCACTCCCTCCCTCACCATGGGGGCCTTGATCTGTCCCCCTACATCCCTTCCCTTCGACAGTCTTATTTTCTGTGGTGGGCAGTGCTCTACATGCTGCTGGGCTGCTGCAGGCAGTGGCTGCATTTTGTGTCTGTGTCCCCTCTGCTGCAGCCACCCAGAGCCTGCACCTGGGCTGCCCCGTGGCCCTCTGTGCTGCCACTGCTGCCCCGTGTTTGGAGGGCTAAACCCTGTTAGCCCCAGCCTTCCAATGTCTATGGCCCCAGCCTGAGAGACCAACCTGTTTCAGCATGCAGGGCCTTGTCATCTGGCCCATGGGGCTTAGGCAGGGGAGTGCTGGTAGCATTAATTGCCATCACTCTCCTGCTGCCAAACTTCTGGATCTGTGGGGCTGGATGACATGGCTCTATGAGCCAGAGGTTGAGCACCACTGGTTTAGAACATGAATCAGCATGACCGTCTTGGATACACAGAACTATTTGTGTGTTTAAACCACTTTTATCTTGTTGATTTAGTGAGGAGAACTAGTATAGTGTGGCAGTCAGATACTTAGCTTTCGATACTGGTTGCTTTTACCTATCTGATCTCCCCTCTTCCAACACCAATATCCATACAGATGCTTGACATCAATGTCTTAGTTTCTTAATTTGCAAAATATGGACAAAATATGCCTGTCCTTATGAAAGTCATTTAGATTTTCTTTATAAAAATGTATGTGTGCATGTGAAAAGCAATTTTGTTTCTAGCCCAGATTTTTAAAATGGTTATTCAGTACAAAACATATGTATCATCTCCCCTAGCTTACATCCACAGTTTCCAACACAGCTTCTGGGATGGTGTGGAGTATGTCATAGTTGTTTAACTTCTAGGTGGCCATGTGCTTCAGAGGCTACACCAGCATGATAAAGCAAGATAATGTGATGCCCCAAATTCTTGTTATCTATTTAAGGCCCATAATCAAAGCTAAACTTCCTGTGCAACTTCATGGCTGTGATGTATTGTACATTAGCCATTTTATATGGTACCGTTTCTTTAAATGTTGATATACTATGTGCCTTCTTAGGCATAGTGTTTGGTTTGATTGTCTATTAACCCTTAATTTGAATTGAAATTTTATTCAAACTGCATGATGCGAATTAGTTAACATCAGGGTGGATAAAATCTTTTTTTTTTTAATTAAAAATTGGATTTTTTAAATTTAAATTGGATTTTTTTAAAAACAATCATCCATAAAATACTAAATTTCTCTTGCATTTAAAAATAAGTTACAATTAAATCTCATCACAAACATACTAAACCTACACTTACACTCATAAAAATGAATGAATGGCTCTGTCACACACACACACACACACACACACACACACATCGAGTTACCTACCAATCAAACATGGGTGTTCATTTCAGTTTTTCATCTCATGAAAATGGCTCTAATCTGTCTATCCAGCCTAACTACCAGGTCTTGCTTCTTGAAAGTTCTGGGCTTTCATTTTCTGTTTCTCAGCGGACTAAAGTCACATGTGCAAAGACACAGGCTGGATAGGATTGTTGTTCTCTGCTTATGTGATGGTGGAGCTGGGCCAAGCAAGACAGAGGAGTTAGTTAAGACACTGTCTTAAAGACAGAGATATAATATAGGAAAGGACGGAGGCAGAGTAGAAAGGAACAGTGGAGTGGACTGGAAAGAAAAAGGGAAGACGTTATTCAGTAGTACACACACAGCTTCCTATATTCCCTGACTTTTGCCACAGAAAAACTGTCATGGCTTCTGGGCATAGGACAGACCCTATCTGGGAATATTTTGAAGAAATTCTTTCCCTGGGTAAAAGAGGAAAACGTGTCAAGTGTAAGCAGTGCAAGAAGGAGATACATTCTTGCAGACATTGCAAGAATGAAATATCATAATAAAAACTGCTTATTGGGAGAAAATGGTGTGGATGAAGATGTGGATATGTCTGAAGAACAATGTGGATCAACTGGTTAGTAATTTAAATTATTCACTTTGCAATGCATCATTCTTCAAGACTCTCTCTATGCCTTTTATAGTTTCATAGTTGGTAGGGTTGGAAGGGACCTAAGCAGATCACCAAGTCCGACCCCCTGCCATGGGCAGGAAAGAATAGTGGGGTCAAACGATCCTGTCGAGGTGATTATCTAGCCTCCTTTTGAAGACCCCCAGTGTACAAGCGAGCACCACTTCCCTTGGAAGTCGGTTCCAGCTCCTAGCTGCCCTGACAGTGAAGTAGTGCTTCCTGATATCTAGCCTGAATCTACTCTCAGTCAACTTATGGCCATTATTCCTTGTTACTCCTGGTAGTGCACGGAGGAACAGGGACTCTCCCATTGCCTGCTGGTCCCCCTTGGCAAGTTTATAGACGGCCACCAGATCCCCTCTCAGCCTTCTTTTGTGGAGACTGAACAGGTTCAGGTCCTGTAGCCTCTCTTTGTAGGGCCTGCCCTGCTGCCCCCTGATCATGCGAGTGGCCACATCCTTCCTGATGATGGCCACATCCCTCCTGAAGTGCGGTGCCCAGAACTAGACGCAGTACTCCAACTGCAGCCTAACCAGTGTTGCATAGAGGGGGAGGATCACCTTGAATCTGCTCGTGATGCATCTGTGGATGCATGACAAGGTGCGGTTAGCCTTCCTGACTGTGTCCCCACATTGGTGGCCCACGTTCATCTTGGAATCAATAGTGACTCCAAGATCTTTTCTAC